TTTTGAAGCTCTTCGGTACTGGTCTCAATTCATTTGCCTCCTGTATGTTGTTTTTTTCTGTTAGATATTAAACAAACTCTAGGTATCTGGTGCCAGTCTGCTGAGGTACTAAGATTGTTGTAGCTACCTGGGACTGGCTCAGTTGTGGGCTGCCTCCATTCCGAAGTCAGGTGTAGACATGCATGAAGTTATGGATGCTTGTTCTCTTTCATTAAACTTCTGTTTCTTTAAAATACAAGGCAAGCTTCTTTGGGTAGATGTGATATCTTTTATCAGACCAACTAAGTATTTGGAAAAAAGTTACTTGCGAGCTTTCGGGCACAAGCACCCTTCTTCAGGCATAGGAATTCTGTGATGTTATGAGATCTCCAAGGAATGAAATAAGCTAAAGGTTGGTCTATTAAAAGATATTACATCTACCCAAAGAAGCTTGCCTACCTATGTCCTTAGACCAACATGGCTACAACCAAAAGCCCTTCTTTAAAATGTCCATTTCAGACATTGGCTTTGATCTAGTATCTTAGTAATTAAATAGTCTACCCTGAAGTTCCATCATGTAAAAGCAATCTTTATCTGACAACTTCCATGGGCTTCAGACATTGAAGCTTTTGTTTCTGGCTTGATATTTTCTTACACTGCCTGAAGATCCTAAACTAGGAAATGCATTTTTCACGCCTCACCAGCTAACTGGTATGCTGACACCTTTACAGACAAGGTTCAATTAACATGCAAATCTTCCCTAAAGTTATCACTTGCCTTGTGGTGAGATTGCTATGTGAATTGAGGCTTCCAGTTGCCTTACAAGTGTGTAAAATAGCTCTTAACTGTGCATGGCTGTAAGGTGATACTGCACAACAGTAATAACTTGATTATAATTATCAGTGTTGCAGTAGCCCTAGAGAGCTGAACAGAGCCTGGGCCCCCATAATGTTAGGCAGTGAGAACACATAGTAAGAGGTGGGACCAGCTCCAAGAGTGTACAGTCTATAAGGCTGGGAGGGGAATATGGACGCAAAGCAATTAAACGTCTAGCCTAAAGTCAAGAACAGAGTCTGGGCAGAGCCTAGGGGCTTGTCTTTTTGGAGCAGCTAATGTGCACGAAGTTCATAGATTCATAGATGTTAGGGTCGGAAGGGACCTCAATAGATCATCGAGTCCGACCCCCTGCATAGGCAGGAAAGAGT